GGATTCACTTTCGGCCAGAGTCAGAACCAAAGTTTTCCAGGAGCTAGTTCGGCACCCAGCCAGAACGGAGGCACTCCATTTGCTTTTGGCTCTGGAGGGGGTGGAAGCTCCTCTTCTTCCTTCAATTTCTCTTCATCCTTTGGCGGTACAAGCTCAGCTAGCAATCCATTCGCCAGTATGAACACTACTACTTCCGATCAGTCATCCAAACCGGCCAGCTTCTCGGGCTTCCAGGGCTCAATGTTTAACATTCCTCCGGGTGGAAGCCAATCCCCCGCTCAGCAGCCGTTGCCTTCAGGCTCAATATTTGGCACATCATCCCAATCGAACGCTAGCACGGGTGGCCTCTTCGGCGCCAGCACAAACAATGGCCCTTCTGCCTCTGGTGCGGCTACTCCCGCCTCAGGAAGCATATTCGGCCAAAACAATGCGGCTGCTGCTAGTACGCCTTCAACGAATCTCTTCGGGCAGTCTAGCGTGAAGAAGCCGTCCCCTTTCGGTCAATCCTCAGCTTTTAGTGGCGATGACTCGATGCAAACTTCCCCTGATGCAAAGGGTAGCGGTTCTCAGGAGAAACCATCCATTTTTAGTAGCGCTCCTCCGGCTCAGCCTAGCTTTGCGGGCGCTGGAAGCACTTCATTGTTTGGCGCATCTGCTTCGTCGGCGGCAGAGACACCCTCCAAGCCCGTCTTTGATTTCAAGGCAACCACCCCTTCAACATCATTGTTTGGCGGCGCTGCCACCCCTACCCCTTCTGCTTCGACACCCGCCGCGCCTGCTGCGACCACCGCTGCTCCGGCATCATCCTCATTATTCGGCGCTGCTTCGCCCGCGAAGCCCTCTACGCCATTCCAGAATCCTTTCCAGTCATCGAACCTCTTCCAAACCACGCCCTCGACATCGCAAAAGCCCATCGAAGAGAAGAAGGAAGAGCCAAAGCCTGCCGAGTCGCAGCCTAAATCTCCATTCCAGTTCTCTGCATCAACTACTACCCCAGGCTCTCTGTTTGCCAAGAGCGATGCCACTGCCTCTCCAGCTCCGGCTGCTCCTTCGACTGGTTTGTTCCAGACTTCGTCTACGAAGAATCTCTTTGAGCCTAAGCCACCTGCAACTGCAGACTCGGAACAGACGAAGGCGCCAGCAAACCCCTTTGGTGGCTTGTTTGCGAAGCCGGCTACTCCGAGCAAACCTGCAGGCGAGCAGCAGCCCCTTCCCTCCTCTTCCACACCTTTCCAGGGTCTTTTTTCCAAGCCAAGTGCTCCCAACGATGCAGCAAAGACGAGCGAACCGGAAAAGCAGGCCACCCCTGGTCCAGTGTCGTTTACCCCTTCAAGTGGTGGTTTCTCCCAAACCTCCAATCTTTTCTCACCCAAACCTGCAGCATCACCGGCTCCCGCCACGGAGACTCAAGCAACGGTGGCTTCAACTTCTATTGCTCCCGCTGATAGTGCCGTCAAGGTCAATGGTGCCAAGTCCACACCTCCAGTTTTCACCAATGGAAACACCGCACCGTCTACTTTTGGACAGATGCAGACTCCGAAACTGGCAGAGAAGACAACGGATAAGAAAACTTCCGAAGATGCTGAGATGCTTTATCGCATGCGCACACTGAACGAGTGCTTCCAGCGCGAACTAGCTAAATTGGACCCCTCGAGTCAGAACTTCGACACCGCTGTTCAGTTTTACATGCGTGTTCGCGCCACCCTTGGCGCTTCCGTTGGTTCAAAGCGCAAGGCATCAGGCGAAACTGAGGATGCTGTTGCAACTAAGAAAGCTCGGCCATTTAGTATCCCAACCGAAAAGGCTGACACACCCAAGGAGAACTCTACCGCACAAAGCTCCACACCGTTCAAGGCGTTTGGCACAAGCCAGGCCTCTCCGGCAAATGCCAAGAGAAAGTCAATCGATGAAGGCGATGGCAACAGCCCTGCTAAGCGCGCGAACGGAGACTCCAGCACTGCAAACATATTTGCTCAGTCATTCTCGAAGTCCAAGACCGAGGCTGACAAGCCTGAAGCTGCCGTGACCAAGCCGACCACCCCCGAAGCTACTAAACCCGCTCTGTTCTCTACTACGCCAACTACGGCACCCGCCAAACCTCTGTTCTCTGTTTCAGATTCGACTTCGAAGGGTTCGGCTTCCACCTCGCTTTTCTCCTCGTCCATGTCTAGTGCTACCTCAGCATCAGCCGCACCTGGAACCGCTCCCAAGAACCCCTTTGTACTGAAGCCTACCTCCAGTGACGGCTCTTCCACAGGCTCTGCAGGTGGCACAGACTTCTTTGCCCAGTTCAAGGCCCGGTCTTTTGAGGATGCCGAGAAGGAGAAAGAGAAGCGCAAGGCCGAGGACTTTGACTCGGAGGAAGAAGACGAAGCCGAGTGGGAACGTCGTGACGCTGAGGAGCAACGGAAAAAGAAAGAGCAGTTTGGGACTCAAACCCAGAAGCGTGCAAAGTTCGTCCCTGGTAAAGGCTTCGTTTTTGAAGATGAGAGCAACGAGTCTCCTGCAAAGAAGGCAGAGGAATCCTCTTCCACCACCCCCGGCGCTGGCACCGTCTTCTCAAGCCAAAACAACGCGGCAGTCAAGTCCAACAATATCTTTGGTCATCTGTCGGCGACTCCATCTGAGGCCGAAGACAACGACAATGACAACGATGCGGATGACACCGAGGAAGCCTCTACTCCTGGCGACGAGTCCGACGATGCGACGGATAATGCTGGTTCAGCTGACAAGAAGTCTGAATCTGCCGAGTCCCCAGCCAAGGAGCCCGAAGCTGGTGGTCGCAGCCTTTTCGATCGCGTTCAGTATGGTGAGGACGGAAAACCCAAGCGCCAGGGTGAAGAGGAGCAAAAGGGTAACGTTTCGAGTCTCTTCGGGTCCTCCAACTTCTCATCTCCCTTTAACACTCCCACCTCCCTCACCCCAGCCAGCAGTGGCGAGTCCAACCAAGCTGCGGCGAAGCCCGCGACGACCAACCTCTTTGGCGCACCGAGCACAACCAGCAGCATCTTTGGTACACCCTTGTCTGGCTCGGGAAACAGCACCCCGTCCATCTTCAATGCAGCCCAAAGCGCTACTAAGTCGACTGGGGATAACACCTGGAAGCCCGATTCTCCGATTAAGTTTGCCAGCGACTCTGCCAGCGCTTCGTCGTCAAAGCCGGACTCTGGGTCGGCAACACCGGCACCTGAGGCGCCCAAGCCATTCTCCAATCTGTTCGGAGCACCGCCTTCCCTAAACAAATCATCTACTTCCAAGGACGCCCAACCATCGCTTGGGTTTACCTTTGGTACGCCGGGGCAGTCGTCGCCGTCTGTCTTTGCTCCTTCCACACTTACTTCTGCCGCTGCCAGTCGTTCCACCACCCCCGGAGGTGCATCGGACACGGGAGCAGAAGAGTCGGGAGACGGTGATGGCGCCGAGTCCCTGCCTCAGGTTGATCTCACGCGGGGCGGCGCCGGCGAGGAAAACGAAGATCTTGTGACGGAGAGCCGGGCCCGTGCCATGAAACATACAACCGGCGCAGGGTGGGAGAGCCAAGGCGTTGGATTCCTTCGCGTTTTGAAGGATCGGACCACTTCTCGTGGGCGGATTGTCGTCCGGGCAGACCCGAGCGGCAAGGTTATTCTGAACACGCGCTTGATGAAAGAGATTCGATACTCCGTGGCGAAGAATAGCGTCCAATTCCTTGTCCCTCAATCCGAAGGCCCTCCTCAGATGTGGGCCCTGCGGGTCAAAACGAATGCGGATGCTGAGCGCCTCTGCAAATCCATGGAAGAAACAAAGAATTGAGTACTGCACACTTTGATTTCTACGACTAGATGCGGTACATAGGATATGCGACTGATTTTACTTGATGGACTTTGCAGGCGTCTAAAGTGGCGATGTATTATGGTGTGCTTTTTCTCGCTTGATTTCTGTTTTATATCAACTTCCTTTTCTGCATCAGAAGACCCTCCACCCTGCGCCGTTTTAGGTCAACGCCCTTCTCCCTTTTGTTCGTTGGAATTGAATCATCCGGCCTTGCAGCTACTGTTATTGCCTTTTCTTATCTATGACAGGCCGATCAAAGATGATCGGCTGTCTGCCGCCCGAATAAACAGACGGACATCTGTGATTTTTCCTTCCCTCTGATCATCTCACCGGGAACTTGTCTCTGAAGATTGGTGTCTCATTCATCTTCTCCCTTCACTTCTACCCTTCAGACACTTCAATCATCCCTTCTTCCCCGAATTTTCGAGAACCTGTGTAAGTAAAAATGTTTCTCTTTTTCTTTTTCTTTCACATCGTGCAACTTGATTGCTGCGGCTGCATCTTCGGTAGCGTCGTTTGTTATTCTTACTCTCTGTCTGCCCAACCAGAAAACCGGCGCATCTAGCATAGCGAGTGGGAATTCGAAGAATCTGGTTTTTATTCTTATTATTATTAACATATTATTTCTTTGCGAAATGGTATTGTGCTTCCGAAGTCCGATATTGCCATTTGTTCATGTTTATATTTTATCTAAAGAATTATAATAAAATTCTTTCACATCTGGATTTCTTTCCTGTAGTATTATTATTGGCGGGTGGAAAATTTGTGACCCGTACAACTGCCATGACTGATACTACTACTACGGCATAAGGTATGGTATGTAAGAATGTGCCCCACTACCACCACGAACTACCACCATGCTTAGGAAAAATAAGACATGGTACGTAGCTGATAGCCCACAGTCCTCCACCTCAAGACTCCAATCTACTACTACTACGATAACACTGTCGATCAATCACCCTACGTACTTCTACTGATAGAGTACTAAAAAAAATGGAAGGAGATTTTGGAATTTTTTTATTATCTCTTCCAAAAAGCCGAACCCCGTCCCGTTGCATCATCCATCATGAAAAGAAAAAAAAAAGGAGAGAACCCGTCAAGCTTGCAAAGAATCAGGGCTTCCATTTTCTTTTAGGGGGAATAAGATACATGATGTTTGTTTTTTATGTAATCAATGAAGAGTAAATTTACTCCTCATCGACAACGGCGGTGTGAAGACCCTTGACATCCTTGACGTTGACAGCCTGGACGTAGGAGTAGAGCTTCTCCTTGGCGCCCTCCTCGTCGTTACGCTTGCGGGAGATGCGGACACGGAGACGGTAGGGGACGCCCTTGACACCGGCTTCCCAGACCTTCTTGTTGAGCTGGGGGTCGACACGGACGTCGGTGGTACCCTGTTCGATGAGGATATGCGTTAGGTGATATGTACTTGGGTATGGGGGTGGGGGAGGGAGAACTAACCATAGCACGGGTAGCGAAAGCGCGGATCTCCTTGATAGCACGAGGAGCACGCTTCTTGAAGGAAACACCGTGCATCTATACCCAAAAAAAGAACGAATATTAGTCTTCCGCCCGAATGCCATCTGGTAGATGTGATTTTGGAAAATTTTTGCTTTGCGAAAATGCGGCCATAGAGGTGGACTTCATCAAACTAATTCTTCTTTTTATGGGTTTTCTTCTTCTTCTTCCTTTTCCTCAACAATCTGGTTCCTGATTGTTCCTCCACACATGTTATTTTTCAGACAGGTGCGGTGGGGCTCTCTCGCCCTAAACCTCTCCTTCTTCACTCGTATGCCTCGAGTTCGGGAGTGGTAGAGGTGGGAGGAGGAAACGAGGATTCGGACTCCCGCTTGTCTTTTTTGTTCTCCGTCCAATTGCCTCCATGTTTTCGAGGTTCCGCGGGAAATCGCTCGCAGGTAGAGTCGAATTGTGATGAATTTCAAGTGCAGATATTTTGACTGTGTTCAACGTACTCTCTTGTGCATGTTGATGGTGTACTCGCGGGTGACAACGTCGGCGATGGCCGAGCGAGTCTTCTTGCCGGTCTTGACGGGGGCGGACATTTCTGTGGTTGAGGAAATAATGTTAGGATGGGGCGATTCTCGCGGAGAGAATAAGAGATTCAAGCAAATCTGCGGAGAGATCTCACTCACTGAATGAGGGACAGAAGTGTCGGCTGTCGTGGGCTGCAGTGGTCGTCGACTGTCAAGGATGAGGAGATTTCGAGATGGTGTTTTTTCGCAGTGCTGGTGGGTTTTCCAGTGCGGCTCGCTTATCGCCTGTGCGCACTCTGATTCGTCTATTTCACCAGCACGTGAGTACCTTCCCGCAGCTAACTATGTTATTGCCTGAGGCAACAAATGATCCCGCTTCAGGCTTGCTTACATGCTCTCCTACTCTTAGTTACTGTGTACTATCGCGCTCTTTCCATTTCAACGGTCGCGGACTAGGTTCGTAAGTCGTTCAGTTACATTCTAGGCTATGACTGGCTCGCAGCTTATATTCGTCGCACTCAATGCGAGGTGCAGGGCTATTTGTTATCGGCACTCACGTCCGAGTACAGATCGAATCGCCGCTGCGTGTAGATCGGAATACCCTTCCTCGTGTTCTGGATGGTCTCGTTATCCAGGTCCGCGTAGATGATATCTTCCTTCTCCTCCGTCTCTGCCAGCACATTCGCGCTCGGATCCACAACCAAGCTGTGACCGTAGGCGTGGTACGAAGCGCTCATGTCTCGAGCAGGACTGCACAAGGCCACATACACCTGGTTATCAACGGCGCGAGCCCGAGCCAACAGCGACCAGTGCAGCGGACCGGTGGTGGTGTTGAAAGCGCCCGGGTAGACGAGCATGAAGGCGCCCTTCCGAGCCGCAATCATGCCGGCCTCTGGGAAGCGAATATCGTAGCAGATAGCCAGTCCAATTTTACCATAGTCCGGCAGATCTACCACGGTCAACTGGTTACCTGGGGACAGGACCTCGCTCTCCTTGAAGGTGATCTTGCCGGGGATGTCGATATCGAAGAGATGAGTCTTGCGGTGGGTTCCAATCAAGGCACCGGTGGGGGAGAAGACCAGCGAGGTGTTGTAGTACTTTTTCGTGGCCGGCTCAAGTTCCGGAATGCTACCACCCACCAAGTAGGCCTTGGCTTCTGCGGCGATGGACGAAAGCGCATGGTAGGAGGGGGACTGTTCTTGGGTGGGTGGGGAAGGAAGCAATGTCTCGGCGTACTTGGGAAAGTATTGGGTACCGTAGGGGGAGTTGAAACATTCCGGAAGGACGATAAGAGAGGCACCAGCTTTAGCAGCTTCAAGAACCTTGGAGCGAGCATGCGCAAGATTTACTGTCTTGTCGGCGCCTAAAGACCATCAATTCTCAGCATTCGATTCGGACCAGCTTGGGAGAGAGCGAGGGGAGGCGGGGACGGGGTGAGATAACAATCGTACGCACCTGCGGCCAGTTGGACTAGAGCCAGCTTCAAAGGTTTCTTGAGAAGAGAGGCCATGACTGTGGTTGTAAGATTACAGTATCAGCAATAAGGGTGTCTGAATGGGGGTGAGTGAAAGGAGGGCGAGGCGATAGAGTGCAGAGAGAAAGAAGTTGGCCGAGTTGAAGCCATGCGGGGAAGCCAGTCGGAGTCGCTCCTTCCCGGCGAACCTTGTTACTACTACGGAGTAGTACCTACTCCTCTCTCTAGCAACTACTAGTTACTATTCTCCAACCACCCACCCAAAAACTTCATTCTCGTCTACAACTTCTCCCACTGGTTCTGTTGCTAAAATGACTCTAACGTATGCTTTCCTTCGTCAACTACTCTCTACTCGTCATCACTTTCGCAGTTATACTACCAATATGAGGGAGCACACGCGTCGTGACCTAAATCGCCTACGGAGAAAACTTCCCGGATTAAGTTAAGAATGCTGGCTTATCCGCATTTTGCAACCATCAGCCTTACTAAATCGGGGCAGACGGGGAGGGGGGCACCCAGGGATTCTTCAGCAAATTTCCATAGAAACTGCCGGCAAGGCAACCTCAAGGCGACGTCTCCGGGACCAGAACACTGCTATACATTGGCATCGGGTGGGATAGTGATCGATGCAACACACTCACTATAATACCATATAATATAGACAGTCATACCCCTCGGTCTTGTACGACACTTTCGACTCTCTCATTGCGCCACAAGGAGAAGGCCTGAACCTCCCAGTAGAGGAGGTGCGATTGATTGGCGATGCCTGTTACACAAGCAATAGCAAAGAATGCTACCGTTCTCCCGGGACCCATCCCTGTCTAAGATGTTAACAGCACTCCTCCAATCATGTGGGACTGGAGATTAGAGCCGACACAGTAGCAAAATGTTCTCGTACACTTAGGGCCCAGAGCTAGGCCTATTGTGCCAAGCTCTTATCACAAGCTTATTCTGAGTGGTGTCGACTACTTTGGATTGGTGTGTGGGTAACCCTCCTACACCATGTAACTTTAGCCCACACACGCCTCTGGGCCCAAGCTAGCGGCGCTGCATGGGGACCTAAAGTGTGCACGGAGGTCCAGTTAATCGAATTAAGGGTACATCTATATCTCGAATCAGATCGACTAGTAGCCATTGACTGTGTGACAAAAATCTCCTGGGACGTTGCTTCACCTAGTCTGTTCAAGCCGTTTCGGGAAATCTTGGCACCATCACGATATATTGTAGGTCTTTAGAAAAATGCTATAAATCGAGAGACTTGTAACTAATCCCGGTCACGTTTACGCCTCAGCTTCGAATTCGTCTTGAGATTTTTCTGGTCTCCGCCGAGGCCTCCAGTTTAAGTAAAACGAACATTCCTGTCTACATCTTCGATTTGAATCTATTGCTCCCTAGGCACAATGCCTTCTCATACACACACAGCCATTTTGGCCCTGGCACTATCGAGTGCTTCGCTATTTGCCTCCCCGGTTGGAGCTCGCCCTGTTGAGTTACAGGCTAGGGCTCCCGCAACTGTACGTTCACCCTTACGGTATATATTGCTGTTCATGTTGTGCTGACTAGTATACAGGAAGAGCAGTCTGCTGGGCTTTTGGCCCTTGGAGGCGGCTGCCCTCAAAAGAGAGATGTTGAAGCCACTGATCAGATTTCCGGCGGAGGCTGCGATGACGACGACGATGGCTCCGGCAGTTCTGATGGTGATGATGGAGACCTTGGAGTGACTGGAAGCCTTGGAATCACCGGATCAAATGGAGGTACTGGTACTGGGAGCGATGATGGCTCTGGAGACAACAACGGTTCTGGGGGGCAATGGCTCTGGAACCAATAATGGTTCTGGAAGTAACGGCTCTGGAAGCAACGGCTCTGGAAGTAACGGCTCTGGAAACAATGATGGTTCTGGAAGCAACGGCTCTGGAAGCAACGGCTCTGGAAGCAACGGCTCTGGAAGCAACGGCTCTGGAAGCAACGGCTCTGGAAGCAACGGCTCTGGAAGCAACGGCTCTGGAAACAATGATGGTTCTGGAAGCAACGGCTCTGGAAGTAACGGCTCTGGAAGCAACAACGGCTCCGGAGGCAGCGGAGGCAGTGGAAGCAGCAATGGCTCTGGTGGCAGTGGAAGCAGCGGCAGCAACAACAACGGTAAGAGCACCGGCGCTAACAACACTGGCTCAGGCACAAGCCTGGTCATCACGGTCACCCCAACAGAGGATGAAAGCAGCGGCAGTGGTGGTACAGGCACAAGCTCAACCTCCAGCATCTCGCTTGCAATTTCTAGCAACGGGGTGTCGGGCTATGCCAGTACCAGCCCCAACCACTAGCCCCAGCCATGATCATTCATCCCACACCCGATGCCAAGCGGCATAACTATGAATGATAGCTAAGAGATATCCTCCTTCAGATAGCAAGAGTTCTTCTTCATCATCTTCTTCTTCGAAAGGTAAGAAGCCCAACGAAATCGATACCGACAGCAGCAGCGGCGACAACAATGGAAGCACCAACACCGGCAGCGGCTCCAGCATCTATGTCAGCGAAACAAGCAGCAACAACAACAGCTCCACCACAAACAAAGACGATGACAAGGATGATGACAAAGATAAAGATGGTGATAGCAAAAGTTCAGACCCTGTGAGCTCGTTGCTCTCGAGTGTTTCGGGCTTGCTGGGTGGGCTTCTCGGACGCTAGGTGATGCTTAATGGTTGAGTGTTATGTGGATTGTTGCCGAAGAGTAAGTGGTGGTGGTAATACTAACATAAGGCGAGAGTGATACATGTTGTTGGTACTTGATTTTGATATTCGTTACTAGTTACTGGTTTGGTTTTTTGATTTGCTTAAAGTTAGAGATTCTGCTTATTTACGCATTACTTACTTACTTACCTGCTTACGCGCCTAATAATTTATCGCTTTCCTCATCACTCTCTAGAGTAACGATCCAATCCACTTCGGATATCCGAAATAGCTCATAAGCGCTCTCGCGCAGACTCGCATATCTTCCTTCCTATCCAGCAACCCAAACCCCCTACTACAATCCTTGAAGATATTCAACCCCTGCCTCTGCTCCTCAGGAACCCGATCCCAAAGCTCTACTGTCCTCTCCTCGGAGAAATTAAAAGACATGCCATAAAGCACAAAAAGCCTCGCGATATAATGCAACCGCGGAGAATGCCAATCCACATCCAACCAAGTCATCCTCAGCCGCCAGGGCATCTTCCGCACCGCCATCCCATCGTCCCAAAGCTCTTTGAACGCGTACCGGCCGCATTCACCGCAGACGGCGTGCACAATGCCATGACTCCCGTAGGCGAGGTGAAACAGCGTCCGATCCACGACCACGTCCACGGGCACTTCGTCCGCGGTGACTTCCGTATCGGGATTCTTGGCGCGCGTCGCGGCCTGGAACCGAATTGAGGGGGTGAGCGATACCATTGTTGCTATGGTGGTTAGTGGTGTTGATAAGGGTACGCTGTAGCCTCGGTAAGGGAAGTTCTGGGCCGGGCCGAAGATGGATGGCCGGATTATGAGGAGTTTGTTGGGGAAGGCATCATGGGTATGATTATGGTTTGGGCTTTGATCATGGTTCTGGTTGAAGGCTTGAAGGAGGACCCGTTCCGAGAGGTGCTTGGCATAGGCGTAGGGCCAGGGGAAATCGTGAGACCGGGACTCGTATTCCGTTGTTGTGCCTCGGGATTGGAGCTCTTCGTAGATTGTTGCTGTGGAGATGGATGGGGATGATGATGAGGGTGATGATGGATGAAGCGGGTATAGTGTTTCTCGGACCGAGATGTCGACGGCGGCCCGGGAGGAGGCTTCCGCGTAGAGATGACTGTTCGCGAAGGCAGAGGAAATGTACACGAAGCGGTGGAGGTGGGGGCAGGATAGCGCGAAGTGGGCAAGCCGTTCGGTAGCGCCGATGATGCTTTGGGATAGTTTGTGGAGCGGGTCCACGAGGTTGATGGATGAGGCGGCGTGGATGATGATCTCGGTGGTTGTTTTAAGGAGTGTAAGCGAGGTTGGGGGAAGGGCTAGATTTGGCTCTTGGATGTCGCCGTCCAGATAGGTGATCAGGTCCGACGAAATTAGCGTCTCGGACATGGGCTTGGGGAGGATCTTTTGCCATTTTTGTACGGCCCGACTGTTTGGAAAAGAGATGGAGATCAGCACAGGGATTCATTTACACGTTACTGGGGCTGTGTGTGGTAGAGTTTACTGCTTGCCTCACCGGCAGAGGAGATATATACATTTTGGGCGAGCCTGCGAGACCAACCGGAGGACTAATGCGCTGCCCAAGAAGCCCGTGCCTCCGGTGACGAAGATGGTTTTCTGCGAAAAGAACTCCCACATGGTGTCATTCTGTGCTTGAGACTGGACACCGTACTTGCTGTATTGCCGGAGAGCCATATCTTCAATTCCGGGGCATTGTTGGGGTATAATATAATGACTGTGGGGAGAAAGTCCGGTGTAGATCGACAAATATCAACTACGGGCATGGTTCACGATCAAGGAACCAAATTGTCAAGGGAGAGCTTAAACAGTCCCTCAAGGACGGTTATTATAGTAGTAACCATGGCACGGTCTCATCCACAACAGGCTTGCGACTGTGTCGATGGTAACGGTGGTTAGCAACAACGTATAACGGCGGCTAGTTCACCGAGGCTGATTAGATAGAGTTGGCAGGTTGGCAGGACAAATGTGAGATTCCGAGTTGGTGGAAAGTTTAACCGGCCTGGGTGGCGAGAACGCCGGAGACTCTTGGAGGGGGACCACTTGGAGATGGGTCGGTGGAATCAAACCGGGAGCCCCTAGAGCCCATCCAGGTTTAGAGGAGTGGATTTGCCAGTGGATGGTGAACTTGGTTGGTGGCGACTCCCGCCCGGGTGTGTTTGCCATCTTGCCTCTTGGGAGGGCGTGTTGTTCATGTGTACCATACTGCAGAAGAGTGAGTAATGCAAGCCACATTTTAGCAATCACCAATCAAGGATGGAATGACAAATGGGTGACAGATGGAAGAAGCAGCCGTAGGAGAGATTACTTTGTACTTTTGTTGATGAAGGGATTGAGGGGAGGGGAGAAGAGAAGAAACAAGAAGGAGAAGCCGAAGAGACGCCGGACAGGCTGAGTCATGGCCGGCTAGAGCCGAACAGGGATTAGACTAAAACTGGAATTCTAGAAGGGCAGCAAAGAATGAATTAATTATTATTATTCACTTCTTTCTTTCTTACTTACTTCTTTGGCCCAAAAGTGCACGGAATACAAACTGCCACTTCCTCCAGCCATGGCGAGAAAAGCAATAGCAACAATAATATGGTGATTAGTGAAAAGGGGGCCTACATTACTCCTTTCTTCTTAACATGGCCTGGAATCATGCCCCCAGTCGGTGATTCCCTACTTCTTTTCACTTTCTTCCTCCCCTTCAACTCTCTCCCTCTCCCCTTTCTCCTTTTCCCTACTACTTCCAGATCCACACACCCCAACCGTTGCCGTTGATTTGATTCCCTGCGGCGCTTCCCCACGGCGTCCGTCCAGATTCATCCCAAGGTTCGACCGTCACTCGACGTGCCTAATCCGTTCCCTGCTTTTCCTATTTCTTTTGTGAAAAATATTATTTCTAATTTTCGTTTCCCTTTTCTAGCCCTTCCGTCTACCAGACTAGACCCCCGTGTCCCTTTTGGAACCCACCCGATACGAGAATTGGCCACTGTGCGATTTCGCCTTATATTGCAACTCGGGAACGCGCCCTCTCTCTTCCCTCCCCTCCTTCCAGGGCTCCCCTGATGTCCAGATAGCCTATCCGTCGACCACCATCTCCATCCCCATCCATCTGGTCCGGATAACACAGGCCTCACAGGGTTTCTCTCGCACTCTCGCCAGATATTGTTAATAAGGTCATCTGGATCCTCCAATCCGTCTCGACTCCAACCCCGAGACAAGAGACTCCGTCACCATGTTCGAGGACTTCTCCTTCTCGTCTCCATCGTCCACCAGGCCCTCGCGCCTGGCGCTCGATGGCGACGATCGCCTCATGGTCGACAGCGACAGTTCCCTCATCTCTCCCATGTCGTCGCGCTGTCCCTCTCCGCGCTCCCATCGCTTCCCCCGGACCGCGTCTCGCTCTCGCTCCTCATACTTCCGCTCCGCACAGCAGCCACCCACCTCCGTGCCTTTCTCTGCCTACGATCACAAGCGGCTCTCTATCAGCACTCTGACGCGGAAACTTCACGAGCACACCCTTCAAAACCCGAACGGCCTGCAGCCCGAAGAAGCCGGTCGCTTCGATCGCCCGGCCTCTCCAACTCCATCGGATCTGGGCATTTCATCCAAGTTCCCCGGCTATGTCCTCACCCCGCCAGACACAGATCACGATGACGAGTCCCTGACTTCGGGTTCCCTCTCTCCGCAATCCTGCTCGCCGTTCCTGAGCCCTACCTCCGTGCCCGCAGACTTCCCCGCAGCCGACAACATCGATCTGAACGGCAACGCCACTACAGCCGCTCCATCGTCAGACGCCTGGACCGTCCGGGCTCAAAGACAGCAAATCTCCCGTCTACAATGCAACCAGTCTGACGTCGAGGCGATTCGTCGTGCTCTGGTGTCCGATGACGAGATCATGCGTTCGGCCATCTGCAGGGACTCCATCTGTGAAGAGGACTATCACCCCAGTTCACTACCGCCGCAGACTTCGCCGCGGAGACGTGCCCTGACTTTGTCGCGGAATCGGTTCCGCGGCCAGGCTTCTTCAGCCGCGTCAGCGGAATCAGCTGGTCCAGAGACCCGGGCACGTCGGAAGAGCAGCGTCAGTGCATTGGCGTCGTCACATCGCATCGAGAAGAGCTATCACTGCTCGTCGCGAGATATGCACAAGAAGAACGAGCAGGGCTTGAGGCGGAAGAGCCTTGTGAGTGCGGCGTTGGCGTCTATGGTGGAGCAGGGGCCAGAAGAGTAATTGCTACTCTCTCTCCCATTTCTTCTTTATTATTCCACATTTCTCTTCCATTTCTCTTCTTCCTATCCTTGTATTCTCTCATACTTTGATGATATATCTGTTATTTATTTGTTTTGTTGGATCTATCGTCATCTCTCAGGGTTCGGGCTTTTTGTGTGCGCGTTGAGAAGGAAAGATACCCAGATTGTGTACCCGGTTACTTGTCTGTCTTACTACTTGTCTGTTCTGTTTTGATCCCTTTCGTTGTCTTGTGCTGTACCCAGTATCTATCATGTATTAGTTCACATTTATACTGTAAATATTTACTCTCCCCCTACCTGTTACCCTTACAGTTACCGTCACCGGTGTTCTACTATTGTTCATCACATATACGTCTCATGTTCATTCGGATCGGATTTGGATTTGGCTTGCATCTCTTCAGCCCGTTATGTTTCCAGTCTTGGTAGGAGTGGTAAACCAGATAAAACCATAGGTGATACAATAGAAGCATATATAGCATGATGAAGCATAGCAGAATATAGGCTTGCAACGGTTCACGATAACAAAAAAAAAAAAAAAAAAAGACGACAAGACAAGATAAGAAAGAGATCTATTTGCATTGCATCATGAAACCCAGTCTTCAATATCAACAATGGAAAAGGGATAACTTTAGTACGCGGGATTCCTGTCAAAGGAAAAACATCCCGGAGATGGAAACCACAGTGGAGAGCAATGGGGAGGGTAGACGGGAAGGGTACGTGTGGCTCATAAAGAATTGATGGATCAATCAATCAATCAATCAATCAGTCGGTCAATCAATAAAATGGGGCAGGGCAATTGAGGAAATCATGGCTGCATATCTGCATGTACGGATGCTGCATATGCACATGCAGACCAGACGGCAGGTAAGCAGGCAAGCAGCAGATCCGCAGCATATAAGAGAGAAAGTGGCGTTGCCGAAAGTACAAGTAGAGCTGAAGTTACTACGGGGGCAATAAATCAGAAAAGACAGATGGAGCTGAAGGAGCGGTGAGGGTATCGAAATGAGTGTTGCTGCAGAAGCGGGTGGTTTTCCGACGGGTTACTGCCGTTTCTTTCGAAACATGCTGTATAGCCGTTTAAACGGGTTTAGTGGCCCCGCATTGGCCTTGTTGTTCTTTTTGCGTTTCTCGAGTGAGCGTTTGGATATGTTGTGGTGGATGTGGATTTTTTGCGCCTGGTGCGGCGAGGGGAACGGTGATGGACTGGCGTAGGGGGACGGAGGGTTCGAGTATAGCGGATGGGGTATGCCAGGTCCGCCTTGGATGGGAGAACCTCCTTGCCAGAGGTTCATGTCGTAGTACCCCGCTAGAGGGGAGACTGGCGATGCTGGGTACATTTGTCCGTCACTTGGAAACGGAGCCGTCGATGGACGTGCGTATGACATTGGCGACGGGTAATCACCATCGTCGTGGATGGGGGAGCCCGGCTCCCCCAGATCGCTTTCATCGGTCCAAGCCCGCGGTCGCAAGGGCGGCGGTCGACGTTGTGTGTAGTTTGGGGACCGTGAGTACCGTGATTCCATGTCTTCGGAGTCCTTGTGCTGTAGGCGCTCGGAGATGGATGGTATGGGCTGGTGCGGAGTATCGCCCACGAGCTCTTCGTGGACTTTCTGTTCATCTTCTTCTGGCGCTGGGCTCAACGGTGCAATGGCCCGAAGGTAATCTTCTTCAGATATCGTCAGCCGCTCTTCAGTCGTCTCTATGTAAGATTCCCGGTGGTGGCCGGTCGAGTCGCGAGCTGAATAAGCATCGACATCCTCGATAAACGAGACTATTCGAGCAAAGTTGAGGGATTCATGAGGATTGACGATCTCGAATGATGTGCCATGATCAATGACGGTTGCAGTCCGATTTTTCATGTTGAATAGGATTGAGTCCGAGCGGGTCCGGGTGTGCTTATGGAAGGACCCTTCCTGGTCTGGATTTGAATCCGGGTATTTCTCCAATCTGTCACGAAATGTGTCCTATAAACCTATGTGAGTAGGAAATAAGTAATTGTTGCGGGGGGTACCACCTACCAGTAGTCTGTGGGGGTTCGATCTAGAGTATATCGGGCTGTCCGACGAATGTAATTCTACATTTGGCGACACTGGTAAAGTTGTCAGCATTCTGATCCATTATGACACTTGCGCATGCGAAATCATAGTCACTCACAAGCAAACCCCCGGAGACTCTCTGGTCCCTGCTCACTCATCGCGCTCGGCGAGTAAGACGGGGATAACGGGGGAGGACTCGATGCCGCGGACGACACGGAGAACGGATGCGCGGAATGATGCGGATACATCGGGGTCTGATTGAGGTGTATAGCAGCGTTCTTGCGCTTCAAGATGTGTCCCTCTGGACTGTCAAAGGCAAAGGCGTCGCTGTCGGAGAGTTGTTTGCGATAGTGGTGGAGGGACAATGTTCCTGGAAATGCGGGCTGGCACATGGCCGGACTC